TCTCGGAAATTAGGTAACCACTCGATTGCTGCAACTGAGAGCTCGCACAGCCTTCGAGGACTATTACGGCAGACTTTTTTTTTCTCTTGAACTAACGAAGCTATGAAGTATACATTCGTCTTTTATTTGGTATAATAATTTCAACTTATTCGAGAATAGTTCCATGTTTTATTCAAGTTTCCATAATTTTTAACAAAATAATAGCATCAGGGAATATATTTACTATAAATTATACAAGCATATTATAAATAAAAAAACGTAGCGTTGTTAAAGTTCTTGTAAGTTTGGCGTTTGAGACTTCATTGATCGGAATTCACATTACTCCCTGTTAGGCTGACTGCGACAATTTGTTCAACTTTCATCCAAATCTTCATTTCACAACCAAAGAGTTCCATCCGATGGTCTGGAAGGTACTATTGTCAACAAAAATTGATGTGATGTGACAAATCAGAAAATTTTGTTTTAACGGACTAGACAAGTCGTTTATGTATTTTGTACTAAGTAAATAGAAAATGGTTGGCCTAGTCTACTAAAATAAAATTTTTTTTTATAATTTTTAAACCCCCTACAAGGTATACCAATTGACTCATTTGAAAATTGTATGAAAAATTGTGGAATTTTAAATTTGGTATTATTGTACAAAGATCAGTATTTAATTCGTAAAGGAATAATAATGTTAGTTGATTCAATAAATGCATGCATCTGATACAAATTTTCGGGATTTTTGATTCAACGTTTAATCGAACTTCACAATTAGAGCTATTTCTTGCAGAGTTTGACTTAAAAATGGAGCTTATGAGATTGATTAAGAATAAATTGTAAAGCAAAGAATATAAACGGGTTCATTACAAAAAAATTTTCAAAATGTTTAAAGTATTAATATTATACATCTTTATTTATAAGGCCACAACAGCATATTTATTTATTAATAATAATTTTTATCATGGACAACTTATTACTTTTTAATTAATAACATTTAAAAACACCGATTACTCGTACAAAACTATAATGTTTAACTATTTGCTGTACAGTATGAGATCTATTTTTTTATATATGCAAGCTAAAAAGCAATTGGGTTGTTAATCTCGGACCACCTCCGCTTTTCCGTTTGATATATAGTGAGTCTAGGCTTAAAATAAATAAGAATTTACAATAATTTAAATTAAACTTATTATTTCATGCGGAACTATCTAAAGCAGTATTTTCGTATTCTGATTATATTACACTTTTTTCACCAAAAAATTGTCTCTTTGGTTAAAATATTACTACTTATTATAATTTTACACTATGATGAATTTGATTTATTTACAATTTTGTCCTTCGAAAAAAAAAATTATTTTTAACCACGAAGTGAGTTGCTAGCTCTACACAAAATTAAAAATATGTTTGTTAAAAGTTTTAAATAAACAGGTTTATTTTTGCACCTTACACTTTTAATCTCCATTTACCGTCAAATCGTAAATTTTGAGTCTCAGTTTACTTATAAATCTGAAATTCCTATAGTCGCCACAAAGAGTTCTGTTTTGTTAAAAAACGTATTTCAAAACATGACTCATTTTTTCCACTCTCGAATCAAAAAAAGTAGATCATGATTGAAAAATTTCGATTTAATCAACAGTAGTTTACGATTTAATTCCATAAATAATAAAAAAATAGTCATTACAAACTTTACTGAACTATTTTTAATATAAAACTTATTTAGTCTTACATTTCACACTGATGTTATCACTCACCTTCGTCAATTTCTGCAACTATGCGATGCTTTACACTTTCATTGTTGGAAAATCTTTTCAGAAACAGATGGGAAAACTTAAAAAAATTTGAGACGCGCAAATTAATGATAACATAGCAAAAGCAGCAATGACCACCATCTCGAATCGAAGTACAAAGTCACGTAATCCATTGACTACTGTACGAATAATAATGTTGACCCATCAAGGGAAACCAGCACTTCTTTATATACCCCAGTAGTGGATTAATACAATCGACGACCGGAAGACTATAGAAACGAGTGGTATTAACCGAAAAAAAGTGGGGATTACAACGCATGACTGTGTCTAAATACATACGTGTATTTTTAACAAAGGTGGAAACATCGCCAGGAGCGTGTTACTCAATTAAATGGGGACTACTTTGAAGGTCGCCACTCGCCGAATCACGTGAAACAGCGTCAGCGAGGTGACATGAAGGTATATTTTGGGTCGGATACTTTTGGACATATCTCGTGTGTAAAAAAGCGAGTGGCGACGACGTTAACAGTACCGACAAGTCTAAACGAACTATAAGCAAGCCATACGTGAAATACTTGTATGTAACTATACGAATAAAACCAATTTTTGATGTTTTTGACCAAGTCTGGTTTATCTTTTGTAACGCAATAGAAAAGTTTTTTTTCTTGTACGAATTTTGCTTTTCGTGTGAGTTGAGTCTATTTCGAAAATAACATATTATTTATTGTAATTTTTATCGTAATTAAATCTTGTAGGGGCAAAAAACTAATTCAATGTGATTGTTCATCGTAATTGTAATACTTCCAAACACTTCATAACAAGAATTCGTTATCCATTTGTTTGGGCAAATAGAAATAAAAATACAATAGTCAAAGTGGTTTATTATTGTATACAAAGTTTCGTCGAATTGATTTTCCGACCTCGTCTAAATAATGGAAAACACATATTCAACAACTATTGTGTTTTTGTTTTAAGGGAAACAAAAACACAATAATTATTGAATATGTGTTTTGGTTTCCCTTTTTCTAAGCGAATGGACAGTGAATCCCTATAATGAATCTTCTAAATAAAATGAAAATGTGACCTTAGACATTACCGATAGCGGAAAATCTAAGCAAACGAAGAGAGCCATTTGTAAAGTGACAGTATTTTCATGTACTTAGTTTCGAACAAAAATATTTTTTAACGTTTTTCCAACAACTGCGGAAAACTGTTGCGTTTTGCATTTTGGTACTTATTCAAAAAAGATTAACATACTTTATTAAAATAATCCAATCTCGAATTCGGTGTGAGTAGGAGACGGATTCGACAATGTAAATATTTAACCGATTGAATCAATTTTTTTAATTCGAACGAGCCGTATGAAGGTCAAACGAGAAATCTATTTCGAAAACATCGAAAGCTCATCAGTATTAAGTACTCCGATACAATTATGACAATTACCAAATGAGCGCGTGTTCGAGTTTCGTGACCAACTTTGCACTACTCATTCGTTGGGATTTTCCATGCAAACATCGCCTTTTGTTCGCTATGCATTCACATGCAACTGACAGCTCATTTGTCTGGTATTTTGGTGCACACGCACGGCTGCACAAAATAAAAACAGCGTCTGTAAGTCATACCTGCAAATTACACTATGTAATTAACAAATATTAATTAACACGAGTGGAGGAGCCGAAAATCGTTCGACCTCTCTGTTTGTCCATCCTAATAAGCACGAATTATATCCCGTATATGATGTCCGAGCTAATTACCACGCGTGAACGCGATGATGTTGAATTTAGAAATTACGGGAGTTTTCGGCCGAGTTCTGTCGTTAACGATATTTTGATTGGAAAAATGCACTCGCCCGGAAAACTCTTCGCTCGTTTTACACGGGGATTTCGGAATACGTCGCGCAAACGCGCTGTGTTTATCTTTGTCATTATCGAGTTGGCGTTAATGGGATTTCTAGGGAACTTTTTTTTTTTTTTTATCATGGGTCACTGGAAAACTTTGTTAGTTTGCGAATTAATTGTTTCGTAATTTTTTCCCCATAAATAAGGAAAATGGATGCACCAAAGATGAGAGAGAAACTTGTGTAGCTACATTTTGTGTATCATATAAAACGAAAAAGAAAATAAAATAAAATCAATCGCGTCGGAGACCACACTTTTGCTATTCCTCGTTATACATGCACCTACACGAGGATCCGTTACTTTAATGCGGCTTCGATTAAATGTCCGATGAATATTCAAAACAGATATTAAATAGCCGCCAGTGAACTTTAAAGACTTTCCTTTTCTTTACGAGCGAACGTCAAGGTTTGTCATATAAACACAAATTCGTATGATCAGTTGGGTGTAGTACGTATAGTATACATCTTTCGACATAAATAGGTATTCGTTTCATGCATCGTTTGATTATTGCCTTTACGTATATATACGTACATTCACAATAAACCAACATGTAAATTAATTAAATATCCTTTCAACATTAAAAACAAAACCACCCGGTTTATTGCAATTTTTAGTAAGTTCAGGATTTTATATCTCGTTAAAATACGAGTATTAAGTAAAAAAATGAGTTTTATGGCATACTGTTTTCATTATTGGCATACAATTGGAAAATAAATCAAGCTGTCAAGTTTAATCACTGGGCCGAATGCAGGCAACCAATATTCAATTATTGTTCCAAGCTTGGCAGTGAAACGGAGCGCTACTAATTACTCCCAAGCCATTTCCAATTTTCGTCCGCGCATGTTTATAATATGTATGTATTCAGCACAAAAACGTTGAAAACAATGTCTGCGCATTCCTCGCAAGAATTTTACTGAGTGTACCTATACATATTATATACATATGCAAGCAAATTCCGGCAGTGGCTTGGGAGCAGTCAAGTCAAGCCAGGCCAAATCGTGCCCTGACCAGCGCGCCGTTTCACTGCCAATATTGGAATTTTGGCAGCCAAGGGGCTTGGCCACTTCCTGATTTTCTACTTGTGGAAAATTACAGAATAGAACAGAACTTAGATATAATATAGGAGTATATCACTGATAAACATTTGTAATACCAAATTATAGTGGTTGAGAGCAGATGACCACCGCTCTTTTTTCATTATTTCCCTGGTAAAGATCTTATCTACTATAAGCAGACAGTGAAATTTGAACTACTTTAAATTTAGAGAGTTTGTCATTGAACATACCAAGTATTAACATTTTTTCCCCCTTTTGTTTCAGAAAAATCGTAATACCCTTTCGAGCCGCGAGATGCAGTCCCTACAATCCCATCCATGATGCTACACCGTAGCGCATCATCGCGGCGCAGACGTGCGTCGCGCAGCGTGACTAGCCCACACCATCATCATCCACAGCAGCAGCAGCAACAACAAGCCCATTCAACATCGCCTCAAGGTAGGCGCGCCTCTATAGCCTCGGCCGAACCATCTTCCGAGGCCCTAATTGTCAGCGCCACTGGCATGGATCGGCAACGCGCGCCTCGCGGTAGCTGCGTGCCCAACATTGCGCTGGACAACGATGTACAGGCACTTGAAGAGGTTTGGGCTATTGTTATAAATTATATCAAGTGAAGGGAAAAAATTACAAAATTTACCTATCTACTATGGTAATTTGGTGCTAATCAGTCGTGAAGAGACTATGAACTATTGCCTACGAGTACATCTTAGGGGGTGCTACCAATGCCTGCATGAAAGTATTGGAACTCACAGGAATGGTTCTATTTTTTTTACCAGATAACCTCAACAGCCTACTGGCTTAGTCGCGGAAGCCACCCACTCACCTTCTATGTGTGGGGATGTATTACCACACCCATTTTCCAAACCTTTTTTCCTCCTATGCTACCTTAATCCATGGGCACAGTGTGAGTATCTTCGGTGGAACACACCTTGCCAGTTAAGCTGGCACTCTGCACCAATGGTGAATTGGGTCCACTCGCCACTGTGTAGCAATTCCCCGGAGAAGACTCCATTATTCCAGGACGTCCACTCCTCGCCGGTTAAGCCAGCGCTCGCTACCGAAGCATCGGATCCAGGCTAATTAGCATCCCCGGAGAAGCCCCGTATTCCAGGGACCACTCCTCGCCGGTAAGGCCGGCGCGATCCCTGCCCGACGCCTGGCATAGGGTCCGCTAATCCCTACTTATAGTCCTAACACTGTTTCGCATTCACCCAGGCCCGAAAACCTGTGGGGCAAGGGAAAAACCCTGGAATTACTCTGAGGGAAAATTCCACGGAAAAACCAGCCCCGAAACAGCCGGGGTTACATAGGAACGTTTCCCGATGAAAACAGTTTTTGAAAAAATCTGCATTCACCGGGAATCGAACCCACGACCTCTAGAACTGCGTTGTACCAGTAACAAGCACGCTTACCACTGAGCCAACGCTGCTCGTGAAATGGTTCTATTTTAATATATCACAATTCTATTTTCATGTGGTAATTTGTGGAAACAGTATTTTTTACAAAATATTGGTGTACTTTACTGGATACAAATTGTTTTTTGTTTGTGCTGTTTACCTGATAAGTCTTTGTTACTCTTGTTTTCTCGTTCTTCTGCCCATTAATTCTCTCTTGAGTAATTTTTTGTTCAATAATCTATTTTAATGTTTGGTAAAAAGTACCAGTTCCATAAACTACCACATAAAAATTATAATCGTTAATAATTAAAATAGAAACTCCCCCCCCCCCCAAGACCCAATGCTTTCATGCTGGAGAATTTGGTACTGAGTTCTGGTATTGACGGCACCACCTGAGATGTCCTTGTTGTCATTTAGTCAATAGTCGTACTAATTTCTACTAATTGTACAGTAATTTTTACAGTTACACATCTATTTATTTCTGTTTCTAATGTTAATTCTTATGTCATAATTTATTAGAAGCTGTTTTACACTTTTACGCAAGTTTCATATATTTATCGGTTTTTTCCTTTTAAAACAGAGATCTATACCTAAAAATTATATATTTACATATGCGGTTAGTATTTTACAGCAAAAAAATTTAAAAATCAACCAAAACGAATGAATAATTTTTTATTTCCACATTATCGACATTCGGGTCACAATCGACGATCGGGCCCGTTACCTTAGGGTGAACCTAGAGGGAACATATGTACACTAGAGGTAGTTTAACTCGTTAAGCGGGAAATTCAACAATTTGATTCTTATTGGCTAACTTTATGACATAAACTCTCTTACGATTAAATACTATACTTCCCGCATAACGATTTAAACGGCCTTCAGTGTACACCTTATCCGGCTAGAGAAAAACAGAAATATATACTGCATACGTGAGATAATAAGACACCAATGAGTTTACAAAAGTAAAAAAATATCATACTTATCTTTATGCAAATCTCATATTCCATTCCCATAGAACTTCAACAGGCGTCTGCTACCAGATCCCGAGCAGTGCGGGGCCTCACGTCTGTGTCTCGCGGGCAGCAGCGAGACGAGCCGTAGCCGCAGCTCCTTGGCACCAGAGGAGTACCTCGCCAGCGGGCGTTCGCCACGTAGCAGCCTGGTGCCGGATCTGTCAAGCCGCTCGAGTCGCAACAGCCTGATACCAGATGGCAGCATGCAGCGCTCGCCCCGGAATAGTCTCGTGCCGGAGTCGATGTCGCGGAGTCCAAGGCACTCCCTCGTGCCCGACCAGACGCTTAGTCCACGCAATAGCCTCGTACCCCTCGACGTTGTCGGATATAACCGCAGTCCTCGGGGTAGTCTCGTGCCTACCGGACCTGTCTCGGTTGATTCGGCGGCTGCTGCGGTTGGCGGTCCCGGAGGGTCGAGGCTCGCTGGTGGGGGACTGGTGTTACCGGAGAACGGGAGCTTGGGCAGGAGTCCGAGACACTCGCTCGTGCCCGAAACCGCGGCGCAACTCAGAAGCTCGAGGACTAGTGTGGCCAACGTAGCGGAATTCGATCGCAGTCCCAGGGGCTCGATCTGTCCAGATGCTAGCGCCAGATCACCCAGGGGCAGCATCACGCCTGTCGATCTGCATGGGGATATGAAGGTTATTATTGATATTGTTATTGTTTTTACACATATTGTAAGTCTATATGAGACATGTGACTAGAGAATTTTGTAGGATTCCTCGGTAATCTTGGGGCTTAATAAAAGTAAACAAACTCTGTACATCCTATGCTATATTCTCATGGTAGTTAATATCTAACAGTATTCAGTGAATCAGACCCCTGGGGTACTCTAAGGTGCAGAGTCAGCTAAGGGACTCGAGAAAAAACCCTATAGCCAGAAGCATATATGAAAATTTGTCTTGACTGGGACTCGAACCCTTGCATTACAAGAAAATAAGTAGTGTATCAGTTCCTTACTAACTGAGTTACGACCGCTCCAGGGCTGTTCTTAATATTAGTTTTCCACAATATAAATTTCAACCTAATGATTGAGCTTGTGTTGACTTTAATTATAAACCGAAAAAAACTTTTAATTGAGAATTAAATTCTAATTGCAATAGTTTAACCGATACGGTTTAATGGAAAATCAGTTTCAACAATCTTCCATGATATGTTGGCAAAAAGATTTATCTAAAAATATCTTGATGTAATTCGTTTGTTTTTCCACAGGAGCGAAGTCCACGAGGCTCGATAGCTTCGGAATGCCCGCTCAACCAGAGTCCACGTGGCTCGATTATCCCAGATCAGATAAACCGATCCCCACGAGGCTCGATCGCACCCGATATCAACCGGTCGCCTCGAGGCTCGATTTGCCCGGAGGCCAGTAATCGTTCTCCACGGGGCTCAATCACACCTGGGCATCACGAGCAGTTCATGGCTAACCGATCACCACGTGGCAGCATAGGTATGGGCGAGTACGGCCATCGAGGCTCACTTGGTGGTGAGGATGACCTGGCAAGCCGAAGTCCACGCGGCAGCATCGGGCCCAACGGCCTCGATCGCAGCCCGAGAGGCAGCCTTGGTGGCGGGGAGAGGAGATTGCCCAAATTTAACGTCCAGGAGCACAGGAGGGCCTCTGTTGATCAGAGTAAGTATATTCATGTGTTTTTTTTTTGAGTCAATTATATGCATTGGTACAGAAAAACAAAAATTAATTTAGTCAACTTTCAAAAGTGATTAAAGATAGTTTTCTATCCCAATAATATAAGACACTTGAAGTGATGCTACAAGATTGCGATTGATTGGTTTGATGTCAACAACGTAATACTATTAGTAAGTGCTTATTATGTGGGCTTGCAAATTGCAAAAGACATTGCTTATTTTGTGACTAATAAAGCGAAGCAAACTTTTTCATAAGGCTTTATTTATAGGATTTAAATTAAATTCAAAATACTTAACTTAAATGCGAGAATGACGAGAAATTTACAATGAAAATTTCATTGGAAAATTCACTAACAAGTTTATTGGAGATCTTGAGTACAGTATAGTATTAGACTATTAGCAAAATAAGCTAAGAGAGCTTCGTACATCTGGTAATAATCTTACTACTAGTAGTTGTAGACTTTCTGGACCTTTTTTGAACAAATAATTTATAGCCCATCTATTCAATCCTCGCCCCTAAAAATCCAGAAAGAATAAAATACCACTCACTATTCGTTTGATTGGGAATTAACGAAACTTTACATTTCTACTATAAAATACTATTGTGGAAATATTTGATGTAGATGTAATCCAAAACACGTGAATGTACATAAAATTTTACAGTACCGTCCTTCACAACAACAATCCAGAGAAATTTACAGCCCCAATCAAGAAACGTGATGATTTTCAAGTTGAAAATTATTTAAAGCTCAATAAAGTGAAAAGTCCGACATTTCAGGCTAATAATATAACCAAGTTCAATAACTGCGAGTGAACTCTCAGGCTGCTATTGCCTCGTAGCTTCAATAGACCGTCCGTACGGATAATTCGATCGAACCGCTGGTCGTCTTGAGAGCACCGAGCCGAGCTATTGATAATTTACGTATACGTATTGTTCTCTGAGCTCGGTTTCGGCGAAAGTGTCGCAGTACTTAGAATCCGGATGAGCTGGCGGGTACGTAGCTCATAATCAAGTGCAAAATTGCCGCTGACAATGTGTCGACGATGGCCGCTTCGATTAACCATCCGTGTGTAAAGAGAAGCCGGAGGGAGTTTGCGACGTAGTCATCCGTGTTGAAGATATATATACGAGCCGTTAAAGCGAATCTCATTTGAGATTGGAAAAATGTATCGTTAAAATTTAGACGAGCAAGCGTTTTATTTTACGCCCCGAGCGAATCGATGAAGAACAAAAGTTACGAGCTTCCTTGTAGATTATAGGGGTGGCACTAACTTTTCGTTACGCACGGCTCGAACGTCGAGTTCGATCTGTGCCTTGGAGTTTTAAAAAAACGAACGTAGACGAGAATATTGAACTCCAGCGCAAAAAAAAGAAAAAAAAAAGATTAGCTCGTTCGTGAAAAGCCCAGAAGAGGTATTGTAGTTTTATTTTTCTTAACGCTTAAACGTTATATCCTATCTTGAAAGTTTGATGGCCTTAAAGTGAAGCCTCCATAGCATTAGGTACTGACTACTGGCTTACGTTTGATTGGTCATTGCCATTCAAGAGCGGTAATTTTGAATGTATTTTTACGCCTTCTAACCTCAAAATAGCACCTTCGCCGCTTGATTTAGGGTTCTCAGGCGAAAAAATATTATACGAAACTCGTTCGAAAAGGCTTCTTTACGAAGCTCGTTACGGCCCTCGCCTTAGGCTCGTGCCGTAAACCTCTCGGTTCGTTAATCGAAGCAAATTGCAAACTCGTACGTAATATACTATTTCCATATTAAAATTTTCTATGTGATGAAATTACAGTAAAAGCTTTATTGTTTTGATATTTTGATTCTTAAAAACAAGAATGCCACATGACTTAAGGTCTAATAACCCTTGTCTACTGCTCTAGTCAAGTAGGAGAGTTTCACTTGTGCATGTACACGTATAAACGCACATTAGTGTTGGTATTCTGCTACCATCTGTCATTTATAACCATGAAGCTAATTTTCACGTCTTTCTTGGCAAATATCATTGGAAAATTCCCCATTACCAGCATTTTACATGACAGTATTGAGAAGAACAGAGATTTTTCTACAAGGATCAAAGTCTATTGAATGAAAAATATTCCATTCCGTAGGCTTACCCGAGGAAGTTACCTTAAGCCTTTAACATAGAGATAAAAAAAGGTGTTAAAAAAGTAGTTTACTTATTCAATGTTTCGAAAAAATATTAAGATCTGATAAAAGTTCTGGGGTTGGAACGCGTAGAGGGAAGAGCCCCCTTAGTAATCCAAAACTCTGAATACCAGATTAACGGATCGATACGAGACCTCCACGTCTTCTTCTGCGTCGCTGTTAATTTGCTCCCCCCGTCTTCTACTTCCTGCTCCTTTCAGCGTCACTTACACATACTGCGCACTCGTGCGACTCTCTTTCAGGTGGTTGTGTTTTCGTGACCTTGTTTTCACAAGTACCACTTTGTTAAAAGCCGAAGCGTATATACCGATCTGACGTTCCATCGCCTTGACGGGACGATAATTAAAGTGATGAAAATTTAAATTTTTATACTCGACGCTCCTATACGACGGTAAGGTTACTATAACTACGATGTTAATTATAAAATAAAAATGTATAGAAGCATCCATTTGATTCGTGTCTCAAGAAATTTTCATTTATTTGATGACCAAATTTTTGTGATTAATTTCTGTCTTACGCGATCAGCCAATGACTACGTTATTAAATTAATAGCTGCTTTTGTCATCGATATTGAAAATGAAACTATATTGAGCTTACTAAGAAGTATCAACCTACATATATTTCTTTTAATACGATGCTATTCATTCTGCAGTTCAGCAATGGGTACACGTTTGTGAAATATTGTGAGGATTTTACCGTTAGAGACCAGCGGATTTTTTTGTCTACACTGATAAAAGGGTTTATAGGCTAGAGGAAAATAATGGTGTCATCGGAGTTTATCCAAATAGTTATTTACGTAACAAGTGCGGAAAAGACGATTTCCCGCACGAGTAGTGATTGACTCACACGAGTGCCGGAGTTGACGGGAACGAGTTACCGTCACCGGCCACGAGTGCGAGTCTATCACACGAGTGCGGGAAATCGTCCCGCACGAGTTGCGTCCAAGTTTTTTCGCAATGTGTGAGGAAAATAGGTACAAAATAGGTTGGAATTTTGATTTCCAGTGTGTAGCAAAATTTTTTCCGGTGTGTGGCAAAACCTTTTTCACACACCTTTTCCGCACACTGTGCGGCAAAAACCTTTGCCGCACACTTTTTTCATACACTGTGCGGAAAAACCTTTGTCGCACACTATGTGAGAAAATCGATTTTCCACACTAATACCAGTGCGGAAAACACCCATTTTCCGCACACTATTGCGAAATAGTAGTTTTCCTACGAGTTTGAAAAGTCTTTGTTTGCGAACCGAGAGGTTTGCGGCCCGAGCCGAAGGCGAGGAACGTAACGAGGTTCGTAAAGGAGACTTTTTGAACGAGTTCCGGAAAACTGCTTTTTTGCCCGAGGAAGTACCAGCCTCCCAAAACCACCCGAGGGCAGAAAAAAATATCACATTCTACGGACATGGAGATAAAAGTTAAATGGAAAAAGACAGATTCAATCGATAAATTGTAGAAATACATCAGGGAGGCAGGTTTATGATGAATCGCGTTATCTGTTAACCGGGTAGTAGGAAAAATGTCCTATTACGCTAATGCGACCTTAAAAAATTATTAGAGACTAGATGCAATCTCATTTAAATGCATTAGCGCTATAGTCTCGAGATATAGTTTTTTACTGACGATGGGGTGTACGTTCGTGCAGCGCTAACCGAGTATATTACGCGAGTTGGCCGCTTAAATGAGGCCGATAAGATATTTAAGTGAGTTACCGAAACCTTTAACTACGTGTACTTCCAGCTTGACGTGTTTTCCGCCTCCGCGGATATACTCTGATTATAATTGAAATTTTATCGATGTTTATATTACGCCTAATTATATGGGACATCGTTTGCGCACCGATCGATTCTCGAGATTATCTCGGTTGCAAAGTTAGCGAGCACTTTTTTAAGTTGACTACGTTAATACGTTTTACGAATATTTACTCTTTGATTCGAAATTGGAGAAAACTTTGTGATGGATGATACCAAATATTTCTTAAAATTTTTTGGTACAAAATGACACTGGATTTGCGACACATTTGTGCGTGATTGATATTTTTATGATGTGTAACAGTCTTGTGACATATACAATTGCTTTCTTACGCAAGTCTTGTCCAAGTTTTGTGCAAAGTAGCTATATTTCTGAAGAATACTCGAGTTAATATATGAATCACTGAAAACGTTTCACGGTACAAATTTAGACAGAGCAATAACACATTTCAAAAATACAAAAAAAAAAAAAATAAAATAACATGGCAACTCAAGACGTAAGAATTTGGAGCACTCGTTTCTGCAGGCAAGTGGGATTGCCGTAAGTTTGTATGAACTAAGGAAGCAACTTTGTACAGAACTCGCGTAAGGCAAAATACGTCGCTTTTATCCTTGACACGTCTAACGTTGGATCTGTAGAAGCCGGAAACACGTAACCTATACTGAATTTTAACCCCAGAAACTTTTGGTGTGTAATAATCGTGAAAATTTATTCAAACTAGTGGCTATACCGAGATATTTCTCTCAAATTTGTATGTAAGACAAATATTTTCAACCCATTATATATTAATTCACTGATTAATACGATGACGTACATATTTTAAGAAAAATTTAACAATTTGATAGAAATACCACAGTAACCAATCGGTTTGAAAATTATAAAAATTGGTCACATACGTATGTTTGTTTGAAGTACGATATTAAAAATATAATCTTTCGTAATTAATTTCAATCACGTTACTATCGAAATGAACACCTCATACGAATATTAATAGCTGTAAAATTTTCTTTATTAATATTAATGAGTACTTTGAAGAATAATAATAATATATTAACCACAATAGAAATGATCTTTTCGTCCACGCATCCATTACTTTTGATAATAATTTTGCCATAAAAACCCACCATTAACCATCAAATGATCCGAAACAAGCATCAAAACGCAATAAAAATCTACCAGCTCAACTATACATATAAAACCCCAATACTCATCAACTCCCGACTCCCACATCGATCGGTGCCCCCCCCCCCCTCCACATAGACATCAATTTTACCGAGACGTATGAAAAAAATATAATCAAGCTCGTCTTCCTGTTTTTGTTGAAAAACGGCAATTACAGGTACAGCGATGAACCGCAGCAGTTCGCCTTATCGGCAGCAGCAGCAGCAACCACAACAAAAGAGGACGGAGAACACGGGTAGCCTCCGGTCGACGCATCAAATGGGCGCTATCGGTTACGGGGCAGCCAATTTCGGGATCGACTCGAGGCGAGCCAGTAGCTCACCATCGCAGGTACGCAAATGTTATTGTTTACGTTCACTGTATTTGGCCGTTTCCTAAGAAATACACGTGTGTGATAGTTCATGAAATCGAAGTTAATTGAGGAGGTTCGCTACGTTAAGCAATCAACAGTCAGTTTTTAACTAAAATTTGTGCGAAGCTTCAAAAATGTATTTAAAAAATTTATATGAAGGTTCAACGACTCTGGGTGTTTATGAAATGAGAAATCGATGAAACAAATTTTGTGAATTTTACATACGTTCTTAAGGGAGATCGTCAACAGCGGCTCTGATAATCAAAAATTTTAATACAATTAACAGTCAGATTGGGTTAAAACTGTAGTCAACAGTAAATTAATATCTCCTAATAATTACGTAAAACAATCACGTCACTTAGATGCATGTAAAAAAGTTATTAATGAATAAGGTAAAAGTACCAGTACATGAACACTTTTTCCATAAAGTCTTTGTTTTCTCATTTTTATCAAATTTCTGAATTGCATAACAACAAAACAGTCATTGCGCCAGTAAGTTTATATTTTTTTCTATCAAAAGAAAACAAAAAAGTTTTTCTAGGTTGTGTGTACAATTGATAACTTAACTTTAAAGTTTCTTTATCAATGACCTAGTAGATGAACAGCGTGTTCAGGTATTGGTACCGATACGTATTTTTGACCAAGTACTTGAACATCCCATGTTAATTAAACGGAAAAAAGGTTATGTTAGCTGCCTTCTACTGATTTCTATTTTTATTATGTATTGCAAATAACCAAATCGAAAAATTTCTTTCTAATTTCATTGGTAACATATTATGAAAACTATAACGACTGGCTTGACACACTATTATTATTGATTAACAGTGATTTCAATCGTTTTTATGAGTTCGAGTACTAGGCATAGGTAAAACCTAATGGTACCAGTACCTGAACAGTCTCACAAGCCACCTCATACAAGTTGCACGAATAAATAATTTTTTTCTCGTTGAGTATAAAGACTTACTGAAATATAAATTTTGTTTTATCTAAAGAACGATCAAAGGATATCAGAAACATTTTTTTTTATCCACTTAAATTGAAAATAGTTTATTCAAGCTGTTTAATCTACTGGTGCAATTTTAGAAAGTGTTCACGTACTGGTACTTTCACCTTAATCTGGAACGTAAATACAACTCAATATAAACTAACGGGACATGCACACGCATTTCTAACCTAAAAAAAGGCTCAGACTTCTCTCTCGCACTTTCTTCCAAAGGTAGTCAACCATCTTAAGATACATTGAGGATTGATAAATTCCGTGGTTTTTCCATAGTTTTTCCACGACTTTAACATTTTAGGATCATGTATAGATTTGCGTCAAAACCTAATAACCAATAGATGAGTTTCAAAAAATGTAATCCCCATTACACCGAATCAACACTCGTTTTCACAAATAGAATCTCGATAGAAAATTCAAGACACCGATACAACGTCAACCTACGCATTTTTAAGATGTTGATACCAAAAAAACGCACGCAGACGATTCCCCTTCGACTGCCTAATCAATCAAGCGAAACTTCGACGCCTGCAGTTGGCGAAACGAGCGAGGCGTGAAAGACAAGGTCCTTTGCCACGCTCTTCAAACTTGTCGCGCGCAAGCAAGTGGTGATCGATATATGATGGAGGGAAAGGCTTCCCCACCCCTTTTACTTAGAACACTTGATTCGAGAGACCGCATTGTGGCGTCTCTACTCTCTCCTTGTCACCGAAGTATATGAGTTTCCCAGCATAGTTCAAAACAGTATTGGATATCTGAAATCAGCGCCGTCGTTGTGTGACCACATCATCTGATTTATTGCCTTTTCCGTACGGAGGTCATTGATTGTCGTTTGAAGATGTTATCGAGGGGCTGCGCACTCTGAAGTCTCTTGGAGACTTCTGAAATCTTTGAAATACTTAAGATGACTTATGAAGTCTTTTTAATGACTTGAAGTCTTTTTTAATACCTTGAAGTCTTTTTTAACGACTTTAAGCCATATGCACTCTTCAAGTCCCGGTAAAAAAGTCTAAAGTCTTTTGGAGACTTCTCAAGTATTTGAAAGACTTAGAATGACTTATGAAGTCTTTTTTAATGACTTCAAGAGTGCGCAGCCTCTTGGATGTCATCTAAAGACTGTAATTCTTCTCAAAAGTTCTTTAAACTCAGACCACACACCAGTTCGGTCTTATGTCTTTTGTACGTTGGAAAAAATTTCACAACCTAAATACTTATAGATCATCAGATGTTAACCTTGGATTGCTGACATTTCAACACAATTAGCATATAAAAATCTCCTAGTTACATTACACCAGGAATGAAATTTAAAATAAAATAGTCACACAGAAATATCGACCACATAAGATGGAATTTCCATAGAACGTTTTTGTAAAACTAATACGTTTTGGGTAATATACCGATAAGAGAAGACGAAAAAAAAAAAGAAATTGGTATTTCATGTTGTATCTATATTTCAAGACCCCTCCAACATTATTTCCACATATTTATATCACTGTATTGTCAGTATGGAAGATTTTTCGTTCTTAAATTTTTGTAAGTAATGACATCTAATATCTCGTATGACCACACCATTTCGATACCAATACAATAATTGTAAATTAATGAATGCTTGATTAGAAAAGATTTGAGAAAAAAACTTATTTTATACCCAGAGAACATCTTTAAATCGTCCAAAAAAACTTTATGGACTATTTCAATGAGATTTAAAAACCAATTCAGTGTTACCCCGTGGGTTACTCGCTGGTAAGCCGTTATATTTCGTACCCACGGTGTACATACCTGTGCTCGGCGTTCAGCGACACAAAACTCCATCCCCAGAGAGATCTGACGCTTATATACATCGATCAATAGATGCATTAGTCCACACTGTGAGGTATACAGTGTATATACTATGCACTGACGGCCGAGTTCGTTGTCTCGCCTCATAGGGATATAACGATGCATCAATTATGGATACAGTACGTATAGACCCTGACGGAATTTCCTTTCCTACTCCATACATGTTGCATAAATTTCCCCAACTTTGGTCCTACACAATATACCATGTTACACATATATGTATATAGTTTCCAATCGATTTCCCTCTCGTGTATACACGTATACTTGCGTTGTTTCGCGTTTTAGCCACAAAACTTGCCTCTACACGGATTATGATACGCGGAAGAGAGTTTCGCCCAGATTCTGTAGTATTAATGACCAGTCGTCTGTATGGACTACCTAGTTTCGCGAAAGGATTAATTTACTGTGCTCATCAGCGTGTGTACCGTAGCGCTTTCGCAACGGTCTTTTGATTCATGTCTGTATAATGCAGGGGGTGTAAAGTTTTAGATGAAAAGAGGTTATTGTCCAATCAACGTAGGAGTCGAGCGAAAAAATTGTCATTTAAGTGATGTATGGTTGAAATCTCAGCTATACCATGTTCATGATGCTTGTAAATCTAAAGTTTGACTTTTTTAACAAGATAGTAAAAAACCCCCAGATTGAGTTGCGGTTTCATGAATCGTTGGACTTACGGATGGAAGCTACTTTTCAAAGTGTGTACCTTCATGGTTACTTTTCAAAATGATTTGTTTTTTCTTCATCTCGATCCCAATGTGGTCTCCGATAATGAATCTCAAATAGCATTCGTATAATATCATATTGATTTTGATATGTACGTCAATTTTATTTACCAACTATGTAGATTGTATTTCATGACTACGTCAAATTTACTCAGAGACTAAATTGTCAACTTGACTCTCTAGTTTTAGCGTCAAAGTTTTTAAAATTGAATTTTAAAATTTTTTATTTACTGTCTTGCAAATCCTGTTTTCCTTTAATCTATAGATAATTTTATTGGTGTGATAATTTCATTGATGTTGAATTCACTATCATTAAAATT